TTCATGTTTGCCTCCTTAGACGGGCCAGAAAAGCCAAACTTAAGAAATCTGCCTATGTACAGAACACATCAACTGAAGGGGTTCTTATTAATCCACCGGCTGTGACTTTCGTTATTTTTCAGGTTAGTTCTGAGTTTTCTTGCCTTTTAAAGGGAGAGGAAAACAAACTACATACTATTTGATGATGAGCTTTTAAAAAAGGGAAGGGATAAAAAAAAATAAGTTACAAGTGTGGTGTCATTTTCCTTATGAAGAGATGCATAATTTGGCCTAAATATACATGGGGAGAGGATGCTTTGTTTTTGTTTTTTTTTTTAACAGAACTACATTAAAACTAATGGTGCTGAGAAGTATAAAAGTTTTTTGGAGTTCAACAGCTGACTCTTTCTTGGCCCTTAAGACATTTCAGCCAGTGTCACTCAAATTTGGACTATTTTTAAACTTGACCTTTGACAGGGCTTTATAAAATCTGGTGGGATGCTATGATAAATAGCCAAAAGGAGAGGATGACTTTGAAGTTTGAAAACTTAGAGAAAAACTAAAATATTTTAAAAAGCTACCAGTAGCCTTTATAGATGTAAAGTTAAGAGGAGCAGAGATTGGGGAGAACAGAACCAAATTCCATTTAAAAAACCACCACCACCACCACCACCACCCTGTCAAGGCCTCTAAAAGAAGCCAAGGAAGAGGGGACAGAAATGGTGAAGAAACTCCATGGCTCTGATCAAGTTAGTGGGGAAAACATGTTTCTTGTGCTCTTGGGTGTTTTTCATTCTAGCGCGTGAACTTTAAATTGTAAGGAATTCAAGTAATTGCAAGAAGTGTATGGGTGGGGATGGGAGGGGGTTCAGTAATGCTTAATGGGAAACAAGTTCACAGTTTGGTTCTTGCTCCCCTGGAGGAAGGGAGGAAGGGGAGTGTGCCATTGCTCTGGACCCAGCTTGTGTGGCATAACTGCCTTGCTGAGCAGCGACTTTTGAGAGTTCATTAATGGAAGTCAGACACGGGGCAACTGCTGTCCCCCTCCCCCTGCCTTCCCCCCCCCCCCCACCGATATTTCTTAAAGAGGAGGGTTGTGTGATTTTCCAGTGTGTTCTAGTAGCAGTTTGATTCTCTTGCTTTATTTTAATTTCCATAATTGGTAGCTTCCGAAATGGCTTTGGAAGACAGTTTGTTGTAAATGTGGCCACCTATTCCAAAATGCCCTGGTTATTTTAGGAATCCGATCCTTTTCCTCCGGAGCTCTTTGGCAGGACTTCTTTTGGACGGGTCCAGGAGGTAGGGTCTTCTCCAGTCGGCTCCTGCAGAGGTCACTTTTTGTGCGGGGGGTCGTCCCCAGCGTTTGTGAGTAGCATATGCGCGTGGCTGTGCTGACTGCACTCGCAGGCTTGTAAATTTTCACCCTGGGAAATTAGCAACAAAGCCCGATCTGTCTCGTGGCTGCTTTGCACTTTCTGAGGGCGGCTGTACTTGACTGAGCTGCAGAACAAGCACACGAGAGCGAGCGAGCGAGCGAGCGGAGAGGGAGGGAGAGAAGGAAAAGGAGAGAAGAGGGGAGGGGTGGGGGCGAGAGGTAAATAGTCTTAAATCGGAAGGGAGCTGCTTCTCTGTGGTCTTGACAAGCGCTGCCTGGGCTCCGCCGGCTCAGTAATAACTGAGTGACCTTTTCTTTGGCTGTATTATGTCTGGCTGGGAAGGGATTGTATTTTGCAGCTGAGAGCCGGGGCTTCCTTCAGCTCGGCTCCTCGCGTGCTGCTGGGGTAAGTTGTTTTGAGCCAGGACGGAGAGAGACAGCCGCGGACTGCAGTTGCCTAAAAGGAGGACACCTGTGGCTCAGATGCGGTCAACACCATTACTTGGCGGATCCTTGAGGACCTCGTTATTTTAAACTTAAAAAATAGAGATTTCCCTCCCCCTCTTTTTTTTTTTTTCAAACAATGCTTCTTTTTGACCTTTCCCAAGGAGAAGCACTACAAAGCAGCCACTGTGCTTTCTGAACGGCCTCCCCCTGTATCGCTTAATTGAGAAGGTAAGTGCAGCAACTGTGTACACACGCGTCGGCTTATTTGTGGTGTGTGTGTCTGCGGGTGCGCGCGTGCGTGTGCGGATGTGGGTATTTTTTTCTTCCCCAGCCTCTCCTAATGAGGCATAAACTGGAGCTGCAGCCCAGCTCCGCACTGCAACTTTCACTCGGGTTGCAGCTCTGCTGAGACGGTTTTGTTTAAATCATGTGAGGCTTCATTATTTTTATGATGAGACATGAAATAAATGCAGGCGGAAGATGTTGATGGAAGGAGGGAGAGCGGCTGCGGCGCGGAATGTCTCAAGTACGACTCGAGTGGATAATAGTCAAAGTTCAGGATGAGCCGCAGCATTTCCACACCCCTGACTCTTGGGAAGAGAGGGGCAGGCAGAGTTTGGAATTAGGAGAGGTTCGCTCTGGCCTGGCCCGTTGGAAGGGGATTCAGCGCTTAGGTGGGTTCCGGACCCATTCCTCGTACTTGCTGGAATTCACAGCCCCCCTCCCCCAAGAGTTGTAATTGCAATCTTTGGGTTCATGTGGACACTCTGCCTCTCCCCACTTTTCCATAATAAGAAAATGTTGTTCCTGCGAGCTGGAAAAGTGACTGTTTTCCTAGGGGGTCGGGGGTCGGGGAGGGGAGGGGTGGGGAGAAGTGGCCACAAGAGAGAGGTTCCGTGGAAGAAGGTGCCTATGTCCTACGAGGCTGAGATTCAGACTGATGCAGCACATTTTTACGGGGGCTACCCAGATTGCTGTTATGAAATACAAGTCAGATTTATGATCTTTTTCATATTGAACATGATATGCTATGCTAACGCTGCATGTGACAGTTTAATCAAATCCATTTGTTACCACGAAGCTAAAAGGGGCCGCTGGGATTTTAGGATTACGGGCAGAGTTAGGGAAGCATGTGGCTTTGTCATTCGCCATCATTTTGCACACTGCCACACTGCGAGGGGCTCTGTGTGTGCGCTCTGTCTCCTCTGGCCGCCCTCGTCCCTTCCCCCACCCCCTGCCGCCACTCCGACCCGCTCCCAAAGTGGCTTCACAATAGTCGGTCCTCGGCGGTGTAGGCTGCGCACCAGGTCCACACTTGAGCTAAATCCAGGAGACCCCCTTCCACTTCTACCTTGGGCTTGGGGCTCAATGCGAAGCTGCTGCAACTCAGGCACGCCTAAGTCAACTCATGCAGAAAAAGGAGAAAAGTTTTGGTAAGGTTACAATCTATCATAGATGCACTTTGCCCGGCGCTCAGCACTCTTGGCTGCTCACAAGCTTTCCTGCTCTTCTGCTTTTGTGTCTTTTTAAAAGATCCGAAATATTATTGTTGTAACTGCTTTGAAAGACTGCTGCTTAAACCAATTAATCTTGCTAGGTGCAACAAATACTGCTACATTCTTTGCAAATCAGCCCTGTGTGGCTGCAAAGACACAACCACAAAAGGCTAGAGCATAAACTCCGCAAGGGATTCTTTGTTAGAGTGTATGTATGTTTCTTATTTTTTTATTATTATTATTTTATTTTTATTATTATTATTATTTATTTATTTTTTTTTTTTTTTGCATGTGAGCTGCATCAAAATTGAACTCAGTCTTGCAAATCTCTTGTTGGCCTTTGCCAAGCACTAGCACTTTGCTGCCATGGTAACTGTAATTAAACTGATAAGAGTGGAAAAATGTCAGTATCTCTGAGCCTTGCAGCTGCATTGGAGAAAAAGGGAATCAAATTGGTTCCCAGCTCCATTGCTCAAAAAGGGGAGGGGGTGGTTGAAGGATGGGGAGGGGGTTGGGAGTTGAAGGGGCAGAACAGAGTTAAGCAGCTCCAGTGCCTGAGATCTGGGGACATCTATTTGCATTGTTGTCCCTTAGGGGGCTGCAGCTTGTAGGGATGCTCTGGGCCAGTGAACAGAGAGAAACAAGCTTTTAGGCCCAATCCAGTTCTCCAGTCAGGTCTGGGGGTTGGGGAGAGGATGAAGATGGGCAGGAGGAGAGAAAATCTTTTGTTTGGTACCTCTTGGCAATCTAATGGCCACGTTGGCCAAATTCTTTTAATCTGTGTCACTGCTCCCAGCTGCAGAACCTGCATTCCCATTTTAGCATCTTCCTAAGGCACCTCATCTGTGCCAACCCCCTTTATGTATTCCCTCTTACTGTTCCTTCTCCCAAATTGTTCTCTGTGAATCTTCCGACAGGGACAAAATGTTTTCCATTCACTATGTGTAGTTAGTCCAAAAATATAAAAGACTGTGTCTAAGTGCTGCAAATCTTTGATTATGATTATTTTTTTTAAGCCCCTGTGTGTTGTGGAGTTGTGGTTACTTTGTTGTGTTAGCTACTGAAGCTGAGACTGTGCGGATGAATGGCACAGAACAAGGGAACATAATGGAGGCAATCAACCGTTAGGCCGCCTCACAATGCAATCCAGGCAATTAAAAGCTCACCAGAGTTTAAATGAAATGGTTCTACTTATTTCTGCACACCACACTGCACAGGCTATTATTTATGTCTTTTTTTTTAATTATGATTTCCCTTAAACTGTCAAATAACTCAGAATGGCAGGGTCTCAGAGGCAATAAGAATTTCCCTCAGAACAATTTACATGCCAATCTAAAACTAGTTATGAGTCCTGATATGCTATGAGCAACTTGTGAAATGTTTCTCGGCTCCGAACGCATAACTCTACCCAGTCGTGCTCCTCTGGACGGTGGCAGTTGGGGGGGGGGGGGTTGCTGCTGCTGATGCTTTGTGCCTACAAGGTACATGGCAATGCTGCGACCACTAAATAGTTCTTTTTCTACAACTGTTAACTTGCATCCTACTGAAAAGATTTCCTCTCCAAGAGCAGTGTGATGATGTTCTCTAAAAGAAGGCACTAGGATGGCATGCAAAATACCAAACTCCTTCAAGCCCAAGGCCAAACAGAAAGTAAGAGTTTCCAATATTAATTGGCCTCTGAGTGGTAAATGAAAATGTCAACACAACAAAAACATTTTGTGAAGACAAGCAGGATAGTGTTACTTGTGCCAAATGTTGGTATTCCCTGTCTTGGTTGCAAAGTGTTTTGAATAAAGATAGCTGACCTTCTACGCTCGATGGTAGTAACTCAACTGAGGGAAATAGAGCTGAGCTACAACTGTAAAGGATTTTAAAATTTGTCGGCTTTGTGATGGGAAAAAATATTAGCCTTAGAAATTGGCTAATAAGAATAGTCACTCATATCTCTTGATGTCTTCACCAGCAAAATACGGAATGTCATTTTGTAAATCCAAATTGCCCGCTCCCCGCAGGTATATGGTTAAGAGGCACTTGGATATGTTCTGTACTGTAATTAATGGGATTTATTCCTTGTGGAACCTTGCTGGAAGACGGTAACTAGTTCTGATCAAAGAAACTTCATTTGTTAGAAGTTCTGGAGAGTGAGATTTAGCAGAGCTATCAAGGGTTATGATTAATCTACACTAGACCCTTAGCTCCTTCAAAGAAAAGGAACAGAAAGCAGGCTAGAGGAACACCACCTGCTCTTCCGTACAAATCCAGCTGCTCGTCTGCAGCTCTGACTACCACGGCTGTGCATGTCATGCAGGAAGAACAGCCACCCTGCGCTCTTCCCCGCCATCCTCTCTTCCATTCCTCTGCCAGAGAAGTTCTTTTCTGATGGAAGTTCAGCATCATAACGGTATTCTGTGCAACCCATGTATTATTTGTAGCAAGAAAAGTTATTTGGCTCTGAGGGTATGGTGCCTGGGTGTCTCTTATCAGTGTGATTTAGAAAAGAAAAAAAAAAGATCGTGAAGGTTATGGACATGAAGCCTTCATCAGAGGGCATCAGAGGAAACTAAAGAAGGGTTAGCTCCTTTGGAGTAGGGGGAGACTCTAAGATCTTAGCTTGGCATTTCTTTTCTTGAAACTGTTTTAAGTGCATCCACATTTGGTGTTTTGTGTAGTTTCAAACTTTCTGCCTAGGAGAGGAAGTATCCTATAGGAACAGGACCTCTGGACTGTAAGAAGACCACCAGATCTAGTACTTGACTGTCGTTCTGTTTTGAGCAAGTCCTTAAACTCTCTTAGGCCCCTGCATCACAATTTGTAAGATGAGGGAGTTAGCAATCCGTGATGTCTACAGTATTTTATAGTGCTTAGAATGAGTTATTTGATAAATACGAAGTTCTGAATAGTTGGTCCAGCTTTTTTTTTTTCTTTTTTCTTTTTTCTTTTTTTTAAGCTGGGTGTTTGACACCTGGGAAAGAAGAAGAAACTCAAAGGGGAATAGCCTTTCATTGAAAAAATTTCAGCCAAGTTGTAAAACCTACAGAACCCAGCTAGACTCCTTATTTATGATGGAGATAGATGTCTAAAATACATAAACATCCTATGTCTAGTGCACTAGAGATATATGCATATATTTATGTATGTTTATGTAATTTATATATATTTAGATTTTACCTTCTGTTGTTTTTTCTTTCCCTTATAAAATAAATAACTGCGTGTTTATGGTAATAAATTAATCTTGTACTTTAGTTTTATATCAAACCCTATAGTATACAGTGAGGGAAGCTGCCATTAACAGAGGCACTGATTGATGTTTTTGTGAGTATAAATTCATTTTTGAAATTTTAACATAAGGAATGATTTTGAAATATCAAGAGCACAGAAGGAAGTATTTGGATGCCAACAAGCAACATAGTACTGGTGAGCTTTTTGGATGACTGTGCTGTGTGTTTAGCTATAAACATCCCCACTGCTAAAGTCAGGTTAGTGTAATCCCAGAAGGTGCCCTCTCTTCCACCAGCAAGCACACAGCAAGCGAATATCTGAGCAATAAAGAAAAACTCGTTCTTGACTCTTATAGACTGTGCACAGACTAGTTTGTTAAATAGCTTTCTTTAAGATTGTTAGCCATTCACTCACGTTTTCTTCCCAAAGGAACCCCCTATGTGGAGAATGAGGGACACCACCAAATTATCTAGTGTTGCTTAACTTGGTGTATCCTGTGCCAACTCACTCTGTACAACAGAAGTGTGTTATTTTCAGCACTTTGTATGTGTGACCTTCTAAACGGTTTGACAAGGACTTCACAATGTTTGAGCCTTTTGTTTCCAAAATTCTGTGTGATTTTGGTATGCCCCTTCCGAAGAAAGTCTACCACTCCTCCAGAAACACAGGATGAAACATTCAACTTGTGTAAGGTCCTTCGACATCTTCGGCTTCTTTCTTGTAGTCCCAGCTCTTTTTTTTTTTTTTTTTGCTTTTGTCTCTTCCTTTAGGTATACAAATGCTCTCAGTCCAGCCAGACACCAAGCCGAAAGGTTGTGCTGGCTGCAACCGAAAGATCAAGGACCGGTATCTTCTAAAGGCCCTGGACAAATACTGGCATGAAGACTGCTTGAAGTGTGCCTGCTGTGACTGTCGCTTGGGAGAGGTGGGCTCCACCCTGTACACTAAAGCTAATCTTATCCTTTGTCGCAGAGACTACCTGAGGTAGGAATTATCCTTGCACACCAGTGATGACTGGATTCCTTTTAAAAATACTTTTGTAAGTGTTTTGTTTTTTGTTTTTTGTTTTTTTTTTTTTTGGTTTGTTTGTTTCATTTCCTTACTACCAGCTTACATTCCTGAAAGATGTTCACCTGTCAGCCTTCAGAATGTTGCCAGGTGCCTCGTATGCAAATTCTTGCCTAAGGAACGGCCAAGAAAGCCTCCTATCTGAAGTGTTTCCATTTGGCCTGCCCAGAGGCTCCCATTTAGAAATAGGTGATTGCACTACCCAGGAGGAAACCACCAGCTGATGGCAAGGATGTATTTGGTAGAAATCAGCATGTAAGTGTTGTATTACGCCCCCACTGACAAGGTAGGCTTAGCTTGACCCAAGAATTATTCAGCTGTCTGATTTGCCAAGGAAAGGCAGTTGAAAGTAGCTGCCATTTATTAGCACGTTTATTATACAGTTTTTGAGAACTTTCCCCAAGTGTGAATACATCCTTCCACCCTCCATGGCATTCCAGGTGGTCATTGCAAAGATATCACTGAGCATTAACAGCCTCGGACTTGCCAGTAGTGTTAGGGAAATTAACCCAGTAAAGATCTCCATCATTATGGGGAGATGATAGCCACTCTCCAAACTGTAAACATCTGGGCAGTTTGAGGACAATTCCTATGCTCTTGCTTAAAAAACAGAGAAGCCCACTAGACTTGTTTCCCAATCAACACATGAACTTCTGTTTAAGAAAAATTATTTGCTTTTCAGGGAACTTTGTGTCTTGAATCAGCTGCAAATTACATATATTAATAAAGTAGGACCTATCAAATTAGAGAAATGATATATGGCATCATTTGGGTTTTCATATTTGATACAATTAATCATTTTTCTAGCCTGACATTAAGCGATTTATTTTGATATTTTTTTCCTTTATGACACAAAATTTATCAATCAGCCGTAGCTCCTTAACCATCTTGGTTATTTGGAGAAGTGTTTTCTAGGGAACCTGGTGCTTCCCTGTATATGATTCCGTTATTTCTTGGTTTGATTTAGTCTTTATCTAAAAATACCTATCATTTGGTTAGAGGTAGTTTAAAAGGGTGAATCTAGTACTGTTTATCAGATTCTTCTCTTTCCCCCTCCGACGACTGCCTCCTCTGACAGCCTCCTGGCTAATATATGACCACTTGTTACTGGTCCTCTGTGTTCCAAGGGCACAAAATACACGCAGGTGCCAACGATGGGAAGTGACTCTATAGCCAGGATTTCCCTTGTTGTGGCGGCACAACTAATCAGAATTAACTTATTCCGTGAATTCTCTTAGAACTTCAGCCTTTGAACTTTTTCTTTGAAATAAAAAAATTTTTCCTCTTCTCACTGTGAATTAGAGCCTCATTTCCACATAAAGCGTTTGCATTTGCTTTCAGTGATTTAACAGTGCTTCCTAGTTTTGCTTTATTTTCACTAACCAATAGTCATGGCTTTTTGACTCTTTTTTTTTTTAATTTTTTTTTATTTTTACATTTGTTTACAACTGCAGTGTGTCAAGTGGATTTATGTAACAGCGATTCCAAAACAAGGAGCTTATATAGTCTGGGCGAGATTAAGGTGTTCTAATAAGCAGTAAAGATTAAAATTAAGTAAGATTTAAGGAAAGCATGTTGACATAGCCGGATTTTAAAAATTTATACCTTGCCAGTGAACTACCTGTATCGTGAGTTAAACTGTTTCTTGCAATTGTGAATATAGTATTAAGCACAGAAAGAAACCTGGGGCTTGTTTTGTGTTGTTATTCTTTACGGTAATAAAAATATGATGTTAAATTGTCATTTAATAGTCCAAATAAGTGTTTTGTTGAAAACAATTTATCAAAATAGTCTCCATATCAGAAATGCTAAGAGAAATCTAAGGGAAAGATGTTTTTTCGTGACATAACTTAGTTAATTTCCCTTAGGCTCAAGCTTCTAATGTTTGTTAACTTGTTAAAAAAAAAAAAATACCCTTTCAAATCAAAACCCTGGTCCTGACTGCCAATATATTCATTTCTCAGAGTATAATTTCCTCTTAAATTGGTCATTACCACATTAATGGCCAGTTGTTATGTTAACAACCTAAGGATTGTTAACATTTCAAACTAAGTTGTTAACAGCAAGCTTATTCCTTATTTAAACTGAAGGTTTGTTGTATATAATGTGACTTCTTTGGCAGGGAGTAATTCATCAATACTTAAAAATTGTCGAGGTGAAATGGGGGATTGGAATGTGTGTAAAACACTTTGTTAAGTGTCGTAGATCATGCTGCAGATGTGGTATGTAGTTTTAGGTAAGAAGTGTGTATCTCAGTGAAATTGTGTCGACATTCAGCAGCGTGTCTCTTACTGGAAATTTAATAGTCTAATTCTGTATGTCAGACAGATACAATTAGGCAAACTTTATTTATAAATTAATTACTTTGAATGGTATAGTCATTCAAAAATGTTTATTGGATGCCTGCTGTGTAAGAGACATAATTTTAGGTAATAGATGAAATTTAGAAAAATGTGTTCGTAAAATAGTTACTATCTAATTGTTTATTAATTACACAAAATCTGTATTCTATAGTAATTGGTGAGCAAGTAATATTCCGTGGCTGTCTTTTAAACTTTTTAAAAATAATTTTTTTTCATTTCCCTTAGTTCACATTTCCTTTTTGTATTTTCACAGTCGATGCTTACCCATTTAAATCCTACTCAGAAGTGATTTTGTTTTGTTTTTGGTGTTTGAATAGTATGTAATTTCTTTAAGGTACCAAACAAGCCATAAATAACTTACAGGTTTGTATTTCTCTGTCTAAATCAGTAGGCATCAGCAAATAAGAATGTGGAAAATGATAAAGAAAAAACTAGTTTCATCTCTACTGGTAAAGTAGTGACTATAGATATTATCTTGGGCCAGAAAACTTTTTCATATCTAGAGAAGAGTGAAATATTTTTGCCAGTTGTATTTAACTTCCTAATTAACTTCTCCTTTCAAAAAAAGAGGACAAAAAATGCTTCTAGTGCTGAACAATGAGTCCTGAAGTTACCACATTTTGTATTACTTTGAGTAGTGATAGTGATGCCATGTTTTCTCAAGTTCTTTGAATAATGAATACAAGAATTTAAATCATAAGATATTTTCTTAGAGTTATAGAAATGATTATTATGGTAAAGATGATTTCTCTCAATTTTTTTTTCCTTCTTTATGGCACCATTAGCTATATTTAAGAAAAAGAAAGATGATTTTACCATTTATGTACTGAATTCCAGATCTTAACAATTCATTTTCCATAACGGGTCTGGTATAATATCTTTTATTTTTCTGTAGAATCTACAATGAACATATCTGATGAGAGAATTTACCAGTTCGTAGGATTGTTCTCTGCCTTCAGAAATTCATTAGATAAAGGAACAGGAGGATTGACTTTTTTTTAAATTTAATTTTATTTTTTTCAGTGTTCCAAAATTCATTGTTTATGCACCATACCCAGTGTTCCATGCAATACATGCCCTCCATAATACCCACCACCAGCCTCACCCTACCCGCCACTCCCCCAAAAACTCTCAGTTTCTCAGAGTCCACAGTCTCTCCTGGTTTGTCTCCCCCTCCAATTTCCCCCAACTCACTTCTCTTGAGAAGAATTGACTTTTTAAAACGTCCTCTGTTAACATACTTTCTGCCTTAAACTATGAAGCCAATTAGCCCATCAATATTTATACACCAAGACCTAGAAATGTGTATGTTAAAAAATGTATCCAGAACATTTGTAACTTTTTTATATTTAAAGTTGAACTTATGACAAATTAGACAGGGAAGCATCTTTATTTACACCTTGAACTAGAGCTTACAACTAATAGAATGCCCAAAGCAGATTAATAATTATTGTGTAAATACAGCGGATTTAGTAATGATGTTTACAGGACTCTAGTCAGTGCTCTCATCCTTGTTTCATTTTGGAAAATATGAAAAACGTAGTTAATGTGTAATCGGAGTTTTAGAATTAAAATGTCATGGCAAGTGTTAAGAAGTCAGAACCAGGAGAAATAACAAACTACTTGACATTTCAACTTGGAGGCCGTAAAGAATATCAGAATTTACCACTCAAGAGTTTGGGCAATTCTTAGAGCTTGTTGTTTTGTTAAACCTAAAACTTCTTGCATATTTTAAGCATCAAGTCACTATAGCCTGGAGCTTGTATCTCTGAATGGGGTCTTCGCAGAGAATGTATTCAAAGCCATTTGCTGTGATGTATGGCAAGGAAGCTGCTTATATAGCTCTTCCTATAGGAGAAGCTGAAAATGCCTTATATAAAACTTAATGTAATTTGCTATTTTTATATCTGAGAATGATTTGTTTAAAATGAAACTGCCAGGAGAGAACAATGCTTCCTGTCCCACCATCGTTGTCAATTAAGAAAAAGGATTTGAAACTGTTATGCTGACTACAAATTTTACATGCTTTAATATAATAATATAACTTTCAAATAGAAAATTAAAATTAAATGCTACATAGAGTATTAATCTGGCTATAATTCTATTTCACACTAATCAAATCTGGTGCCTCCCAATTTTTATATAAGGTTAAATTTATATTAGTACATAATTACAGCCTTAAAAGTAAGCACAGATGTGTTGTTTACATTATTTTATCTGATAACTCACTGCATAGTTACTTTTTTTGTGTTGGATGAAGTGTTTATTCTTTTTCTCCCTTCACTGTCCTCTTTTTAAACTAGGCAGTTGAAAATAATTTCCCCAGCAATCACTGCATTATTATTATCTGAAAAATCACTTTTTATTGTTGTAAATTCTGAAAATTTAAGCTTTTACACTGAATTAAACTCCTCCCAAATGAACTTTTTTCTATAAGCATTGAGTTTTCTTAATACTTCATTATAATTGTAATTTTTATTATATTTAAATGTATAACCTAATCTTAGTACTATGAAATATCTTAGCGCATGAGTATATTAGACTCCACGGCCT